CCTCCCCCCAACTGGGAGAAGTACAGGCAGCGCCGGATATCTCAGCGCCTGCCGGATGGTTCCGGGCATGGCTCTGCCTTCACTGCTGCCCCGGTGCCAACCCGCAGCATCGCTGAGGCTGTGCGTGAGCGCTCGCAAAGCCTCACTGGGGAGCAGGGGGGCCGGTCCCGGGGGCACACTGCTCGCCCCCCTGCCCCGCCAGGTGCCTGGCCCCGACCTGACCCCCCCAGATTGCTCCGCAGGACACCCGAGCCCGATGCTGGCAGCGCTGAGATTTGCAGGCAAGTGCCACCGCGGCATGGGGGTGGGAGCAGGTCTGTGGGCACAGCCTGGGCATGGGGTGGCATTTGGGGACATTCCTTTGAATCCTGTGTCAGAGCATCCTAATCCACCCCCTAGGGCGGGCTGTGGGGTTTCTTGGGGTGGGGGGTGTCTATGACTTCTTTCCCTGGGGTGGGCACAGCCCTGCGTGTCTTTATCCCCCACGGGCGGGCAAGGTAGTTGACGTGGGTGCCCCTGGGTGGGTGTCAGCAGGGCGGCAGGTGCTGGGGAAGAGCGTCCAAAGGTGAAGCACCCCTGGGAGATGGAGGAGCAGCCCCAAAGGCTTGGCCGGAACCAGGAGCGGGGCTGGGCTGGCCCATGCGGCATGAGTGAGTGCTCCCTGCCCCTGCATGGTGGTCCCCGCCCTGCCACCCCAGAGGCACCCAAGTCCAGCCCCGGAGCAGCGGAGGGGGCAAGCTGCCAGGGAAGCCGGCCCCAACCCCGCCGTGTGGACTCGGATGAGCTGCTGTGGGATGTGGTGGGCAGGGACCACTCCCTGGCTGGCATCCTGGCCCCCTCGGCCCCCCTCTGCACCACCACCGAGATGATGGGCAAGCTGCTGGTGGTGGGGGAGCAGCAGGCCTGGCGGGAGCGTTACCAGCAGGACTGGCGCCTGGAGGCCCTGGCACAGGACAGGTAGGGCTGGTGTGGCACTGGGCACTGTGCTGAAACACCTGCCAGCCCCGGTGCTTAGCCCCTGTCCCCACAGGCAGGGCTTCGAGCCCATCTCACCGCCCCCCGGGAGCACTGCCAGCTCCACCTCCTACTCGGCATATTACGGCTCAGCAGCAGGCAAAACTGAGCCTCTCGGCAAGATGAAGGAGCTGCCAGAGGTGGTGGAGGGAAGCTCAGAGGATGAGGAGGAGGAGGTGGACCACGAGCTGGTGGAAAAGAAGGTAAAGCGGGCACTGCTGGGGATGATGCACTAGAGGCTCCCCCCTGCCATCCCCAGGTGTTCATGGAGACCCAGGGCATTGCCAGGTGCTCACAGTGAGGCAGCACTGGTTGTTTGTGGGAACTAGGGACATCTCCGGGTGCTCATGGGGACCAGGGACATCACCAGGTGCTTGCAGGGACCAAGGGTATTGCTGGATGCTCACAGGGGCCCGTGAAGGCCAAGGGCATTGCTTGGTGCTTGCGGGAGCTGGGGGCATTGCTATATGCTTGTGGTGTATGAGACATTGCCAGATGCTTGCAGGGACCAGGGACATTGCCAGTAGCTCATGAGAACCAGAGGCATCGCCAGATGTGGTCTGTGGGGCCCAGTGCAGCGTGGCACCCCTGCACCTGTGTGCCAGTCCCCCAGTCCCAACAGGGGGTGGCCCCAGTCACCCCGACCTCTTTCCTTGCAGCTGCAGCTGATCGAGAGCCTGAGCCGCAAGCTGGCGGTGCTGCGGGAGGCACAGCGGGGGCTGCAGGAGGACATCAGCGCCAACGGGGCACTGGGCGAGGACGTGGCTGCCCGTCTGCAAGCTCTCTGCACCCCGGGGGAGTTTGACAAGTACCGTCTCTTCGTGGGCGACCTGGACAAGGTGGTCAACCTCCTGCTCTCCATCTCGGGGCGCCTGGCCAGGGTGGAGACTGCCTTGGGCAGCCTGGGGCCGCACGCCCCCGCTGAGGACAAGGTGAGCACAGGGCAGGGTGGCACCTGTGGGGTGCTAGGGTGCAGGATGCCCCCACCAACATCACCCATCTCACCCACAGGTGGCCCTGCGGGAGAAACAGCGGCTGCTGGTGGCGCAGCTGGAGGACGCCAAGGAGCTGAAGGAGCACGTGGGGCGGCGGGAAGAGGCGGTGGGTGCCATGGTGGCACGGTACCTACCTGCTGAGCACCTCCAGGACTACCAGCACTTCGTCAAGATGAAGTCGGCCCTCATTGCCGAGCAGCGAGAGCTGGAGGAGAAGATCAAGCTGGGCCAGGAGCAGCTACGGTGCCTGCGTGAGAGCCTCGGTCAGGCCCCCAAGGGCTGCTAGCCCCCTGCCCAGCCTTCCCCCGGGACCCTGGTCGTGGCCCCAGCTTGCTGCCAAAGCGGATCTGGCCCCTCGGGGGCTCTCGCTGCGTCTGTCTGTCTGTCCAGCCCCTGCCTTTTATTTATTTATCTGGTTTACCGAGCAGGGGAGGGGGTACCAGTCCAGGCGCTGGCAGGGGAAATTGTGTCACAGACCTGCCCTGGGGTCTATGGCCACCCAGCACCCTGTGGCCCCGCAGGACCAGATGAACAGATCCTGTCACCCCTCTGCTACTCATGGGCCTTTCTGTGCCCGTGGGGGTCCCTGGGTTCCTCCGCCTTGTCCTGGACACCAGTGCCTGTCCCACAGCTGGTGCTACACCGCGTGCCTTAAAACACCCCTCCGGCTGCCCTGGGGCATCTCCACGCAGCACCTGGAAGGGTTAAACTATCCTTACCCTCCATCATGCCTATTTGTCCAGCTCTGTCCATCTGTCCGGTGGGAGCTGGAGGAATTTCTGCCCCAGCATCCTCTTCCTCTTCATTGTGTCTGAAACAATAGACCTGGCCAACAGGTCCTTAACCCACTCCCCGCCGGCCCAAGTCACAACGGGGGGCTGAGTTGGGTGCTGGTGGGTGCTGTGTACTCCTCTCCTGGGGGACACAGTGATGGGTGCCCCTGGGATGGTGCCCTGCCAGGGGATGGGGTGCTGGCAGCAGTAGACTGGGGACTGTGGGTGCCTCCTGCCACCAGTGGTGTGGGCACAGCGACCACCCGGCCTCATCCAGCCCTCCAGCCTCTGCCCTGGCACTGGGAAGGATTAATAGAGGAAGAACCATGCTAAGGCTGAAATGGGGTACCTGTCCCCCTCCTCTGTGCTGCAGCAGCCCCAAATAGCTCTTAGACCTCACCCTGGGCCACCCCCCAGGCCCATCACTGTCTATCTGTCCCCACAGGATGGGCAGGTGCCTTGATGCTGATTTTGCACAGGGATTTCGTGCAACTGGCAGCAGCTTGGGTTGGTGGTGGGGAAGCATTTTGGGGAGGCAGGATGGGCCCCAGCCCTTTTGGGGGTGGCCATAGCTGGGCAGCCCAACCCCAGGGTGCAGGCAGTGCTCATGCCTGCCTGCTCGACATCACAACATCCCCCCGTGTGGCTGTTCACCCTGTGGGCCTCCCCCAGCCGTTGAACGCTACACCCCATATCTACCTGGCCCTACCCTGGGGCCAGGAACGGGGTCCCCCACATCCCCCCCATCTCAGCCACCCCCTGTACCTGCCCAGGGACACTGGTAGGACCAAAGACTGCACCCACTGGGAGGTGGGGGACATGCTGCTCTTGGCGGGGG